TGGAAAAGAAGTAAGACACCAGAGTCTGGAGGCTTCTGCTATTTCTTCCAGTTTGTGTACCAAGGAGGGATCTTCAGGACAGATGAATACAGCTACAAATGATCCCAAATGCTATCCGTTCACCACCTTCCCCAGGGTTTAGTTTTCTGGCCAGCTCTTCCACAATCATAAAAAATAAATTTCAGGCAGAAGACTTTCAATTGCAGTCCTTGGATGAATGGCTGCTGCTGGGTCTAATAGAAGGCCAAGGGTGACATGCAAGGGTTCATTTTTTTCTTTCCAGCTGAGTACCGTCATTTCTTCCTTTGCTGATTTAATTCAGTTAAAATTGATTGACTGCTCCCACAGTGCATGACCCAATTCTAGGTGACAAGAGAGAACATAGAAAAGACATCACTAAGGAACCCAGGTTAGATTTTGCCTGTTAGCTCAGTCCAGTGGGAGGGTATTGTTACTGCTCTTAGCTATGAATCGTTCTCTTGCATTGAGATAGTAATTTCTCATCCGCAAAACAGCATGGTACAGTATGAAAAATATTGGATTTGGAGTCAGAATCAGGGTTCAGATCCTGTTTCTACCATTTATTTGCTATATGATCTTTGGCAAGTCACTTAAACTCTCTGGGCCTCAGTTTCCTCAACTGTAAAATGATAGGGTTGGAATAGGTGACTTCTAAGGTCTCTTCCAACTCTCAATGAATGATTTTACGAAAGTGTGATTTTTGTTACTCCTCAGGGGGACCCTGTGGGGCATGATTATATCCAAAGACATGGGGTCTAGCCATTTTACAGTGAGTATAGGTAAAGTTACCCAGTGTCCGCAGTACAAGAAGCTTATGGAGGCTGTTTTGGGCCTGCTACCAGTATAACTGATCTAATGAAAGTATTATAGGAAGGAAACTTACAGTCATCACACTAAATACTCAGCCCTCCTAGATCTTAAGAAGCTAGCTTTTGACACTAGAGTTCTCCATCATAGACTCTTGGCCAGTTGGTTGTTTACTAAGACCAGGGGTGGGGAACCTGTAGCCTTGAGGCCATATGTGGCCCTCTAGGTCCTCAAGTGTGGCCCTTTGACTAAATCTAAACTTCACAGAACAAATACCCCCTTAATAAAAGGATTTGTCTGTAAAATTTGGACTTAGTCAAAAGGCTGCACCCAAGGACCTAGAGGGCCACATGTGACCTTGAGGCCACAGGTTCCCCATCCCTGAGTCCAAGACCCTTGATATTTTTCCTACTGATGTCCCACACTCTATTTCAGCTTGTTCTTGAACACCTGCATCTAGTCTAGAAATGGCATGATCATAACTCTTGATATCTCTCTTTTATTTGGAAAATCCGGTACTGCGAAGATTTCTTCATCCCGTACCACAGAAGTATCCTTTTTTCTGTACCCTTTATAAATACTGCACAAAAAAAAAATCCCATTGAGCCTTTCCTTATACTAGGTACTCTCTGCTTCCTTCACCCTTCTTTTGTTTGTTTGTTTGTTTGTTTGTTTTGGTCTGTGCTCACCTAGAGGTTTGCATCTTCCTACAGGCAAATTGGAGTTTGACATGTCGTCTGAGTGACCAGTGCAAAAGCATTACTTTCCTTTTCCTCTCCTGTAATTCATATGACAGAATATTCTTTGCTGAAGCTACATGACTCTTCAAAGGTTGCCATGGTAGGAGATGGGAGGGGTAGAAAGGAGGATGTTAGGGTACTGAAGGGAGGGCCATGTTAGGGGGAAAAGTTCTTCCAATCTGAAGCACCAACGACCCCCAAGAGGCCTACTTACCTAGAAAGAATAATTTTCCAAAGAGATTTCCAGGCTCTTGCAGCAGCTGATCTCCCTATGCAATTCTGATCAGCCAAGCCTTTTAATACCTATATCCTTTAGGAGACCATGACCCTGGGATGACAAGACTGCTCTGTGCTCCTTTGAAGAACAATAAATCTACTGTTTTATGCATGTATATAATTAATATATTTAGTTATAATATATTTATATAAATATGTATTTATATAAATATAATAGATATATTGTAAATAAATATATTATATAAATTATATATACATACGTTAATATATTTGTTTTATATTATTATAATATATGCCATAATATATCAATATAGTTATATTGTACATTATATGATATTGATATATTAATATATTTGTGTATCTGTATAAACATTCATATAGATATAATATATTATATATAAAACATATTAAATGTATTAGAAATAAATACATTTGTATAAATTACACACACACACACACACACACACACACACACATATAGTAGTTTTGTTTTTCTTCAAAGGAGCACAGAGCAGTCTTGTCATCCCAGGGTCATGGTCTCCTAAAGGACATAGATATAGATATAGATATGATATAGATATAGATATAGATATAGATATAGATATAGATATATAGATGTAGATATATATATATATATATATCAGTCCTATCTAAGGTGTCAGTCCGAAAATGTAATACAGTATAGAAAAAAGAGCACTGGGTTTAGAATTGGAAGATCTAAGTTCAAATTTCCGCTCTGTCAAGGTCACTCATATGACCTTGGGCAAATCACTTCATTTCTCTGGGCCTCAGTTTCCTCACGTGTAATATAAAATCCCACGTGGTGTTCAAAGCCCCTGATAGCCTGGCCCCCTTCTTCTTTTCCAGTCTTCTCATACCTTACTACCCCAACAGATTTTATGGTCCAATGATACGGGCCTTCTTGTTGTTCATTAGAGAGGACAATCCATCTCTTGACTCTGGGCATCTTCACTGACTGTCCTCTGTGCCTGGAATGCTCTCCCTCCTCCTCTTCCTCACCTAGGCTCCTTGGCTTCCTTTATCATTCCAAATAAAACCCTACCTTTTATAAGAAGCTTTTTCTTATCCTCCTCAATGCTAATACATTCTCTCTAAAATTATGGCAAACTTATATTGTGTTTGTACATGCAGTATAATTGTTTAGATGTTGCCTTCTCCATGAGACTGTGAGCTCCTTGAGAACAGGGATTGTTTTTTGCCTTGCTCTGTATCCCCAGGGCTTAGTGGTACATGGCACACAGCAGGTGCTTGTTGACTGATTCCAGCTACTATTGATGCTCCCTATACGTGCTGTTCTAGCTTCTACCTCTCAGCTTTTGAATAGGCTATCCCTAATGCCTAGAATGATTTTCCTCTTCATCTCTGCCTCTTAGAATTTCTATCTCCCTTCAGCACTCCACTTAACTCTTTCACCATCACCTCTACAACCTGTCTAGAATGAATATAAGCACCATGAGGGCAAAACCGATTTCTTTCTTGTCTTTGTATTTCCAGCACCCAGCATAGAACTTGGTGTAGAGTAGGTTCATTCATTAACAGATAATTCTTAAATTTGATTATCTACTTTAAGCCCTTCATTCTACAAATGGAGAAACAGAGACCCAGAAAACTGAAGTCACAGAATGGCAGAATGTTAGTCTTTGGAGAACATCTCCAGAAGTTCTTAACCTTTTCTGTTATGTCATGGACCCCTTAAGTGTACCAGTAAAGTCTATGGATCCCTTCTCAGAATAGTATCTCTAAATGCATAAAATATGTAGTTTAATTCCTTCATGATGAGTAGATGAAGTTTTGAGTGGCTTTACTGTCTAATTTACTCCTGAATTAGTAATTGACAGACCAGAGATTTGAATCCATTCCAAGACCACCATTCTTTCCTCTACATTTTACCAAGGCCACACAGTAAATGGAAGAGCTGGTGACTCCCATCCTAAAAGAGAGACCCCCAGAACAGTGACCACAGCCACTGTCGAGAGCAATTTTCATGTAAACTCAGTATAACAAGCAGAAGCGTGTGCAGCACATTCCATTAGGATGTGCACCTAAACAATTTTTTTAAAGCAAACAGTTATTGAAATCTCAGTCATAAAGGATATCAAATGAATTAGAGAAACTGAAACAAAATTTTTTCAAATAGCAAGCTTTAAATACTAACTTAAAAATATAAGGGTGGGGTTTTTTTTTTGAGACATTAGGGTGAGCCTGGGAATACCTAGCATACCCTGTTGTCCCACAAGCACCCACAAGTACTGTCTTGATATAAGGACAATCCTTAGTAGGGACAGTCCTTATTCTAATATGATCTGGATTCTCCATCTCAGTCATATACAAAGAAAGTATCATCAGGACTCAGTTATTAGCTCTGATGTTCTCAAGGCATCCTATTTAATCTATCACTTAAACATTAAAGAGAATAATAGTGATCAAATCATGACTCCTAAGACTTAAATGGTCTTTCAGAAAGCTATTCCCCTTCCTCTAGGTAGGACTGTACCTGTGACCCCAGTCAAGTGGCTACATCTTACTATTAAATCTCTCACCCCTGCTTGTTTCATTCAATGTCTGAGAAGCATCTATGGGGAAAATAAAAAGTTTCATAGGTTTTTTTAATGTCCAGTTCTGTCCCTAACCCCTTCTGACTAATCAGTGCATTCTCATAATGGTGGATTAGCTTTAATGTCTATAGAATGGTGAAAAGGGCCCAGGTCATGGCTTTAATTCCCTGTGCTGGATCAATTAGCTTTGCTGTATTCCACAATAATTATTATTTTAAGCAGTTGATAAAGCCCTGAACGTGAAGAAATCTTTCCCCCATACCTCAAGTGTCAGAGTTTCATCCCTTTAGCTTAGGACTGATCCCTGTTGAAATGCAAATCCCTCTCAGAGGAGTAAAACTTTAAGCTGTTATCAGTCAAGTATACCTTAATGTGATTTAGTATGAATGAAAGATCTGAGTCCAGCTTTTAACAAAGCAGTTGAAGAATGGGGATAATAGTGGAGCATGGAAAGAGCCCTAGGTCTTTCTAGGATACATATGGGGGGAGTAAGACATGGAAACCACTACATCATGAAAGAGATAAAAGGGAAAAACTAAGAGTTCTGGGGCACAAAAGATACAATTTACAATTTCCCTTACAGCATCTTTATTTTTTTTTCTCTCTCTCTCTTTTCTAGGCTGTTTAGTGCAATTTTAGAACAAGCAACCAAAGCAGATGGGGCAAATGCATTAGGAGGAAAAGGGGCTGGATTTGATGTAAAGGCCCTGAGGGCTTTCCGAGTGCTGCGTCCCTTACGCCTGGTGTCTGGAGTGCCAAGTAAGTGATGTTTACATACACACACACACACACACACACACACACACACACACACACACATATATAAACCAATATTATGAATACGGTACTTCTGCTGTGTCTGGGACAGGGCCAGTGACAATTAAGGGGGAAATGGAATGAATGCATGACAAATAGAGGCAGCTATGTCTTCTGCTAGGTTGGACAGGGGGATAAGCATAGTCCCTGGCTGAAAAATACTTTCAGTGGGAATTCAAAATCAGATGAGTGGAGTGAAAAGGAGAGAGAGAGAATCAGCAAGACAGAAGAACAGTATCTCAAGGCCAGATTTTGACTCAGGAGAAAGTTAACATTAAAATCCAAAAGATGAAAAATCCAGTAGCAAGCTAGAAAATAAGGATAAGCCAGGTTCAAAGATTTGGTTTCAAAATGAAGAGGTGCTTTTTTTTTCTTTTTTATGGGTTGACGGCATTGGCTAATGGTCCGATGATGGGCTAATGGACCAATGATCCAATGTTTCTTTTCTGTATTTGCCAGCTCCCATCCTGCTTTTGTGTGGAGCAGTTGAGAAAGAAAAGACTACAGAAACTTGACCGCCCAGTAACCTCTACTTGCTGTTTCTTCCCAAACCCCCTTAATTCTAATGCCTTTTCTCTGTTGATTAATCCTCATTTATCCTATAAATAACTTGTTTGTACCTAGTTGTTTGTATGTTATCTCTCTCATTAGATTGTAAACTCCTTGAAGACAGAGTCTGTCTTTTGCCTTTCTTTGTACAGTGCCTGAGGCATAGCAGGTGCTTAATAAATATTTACTGACTGACTTCATTGATCAGCCCCAGGTCATTTCTGTGCAGGAGACAATTTTTATTTAAGTAGATTTTTCAAAAGTGATTTCTATTGCTTAAAACAACTTAAAAATTGAGAACTTGGAATCCTGGAGTCTCGGCCACTTACCTCGTATGACTTTTGATGAGTCATTCAACCTTTGTGGGGTATCCTCATCCATAAAAGAAGGGGATTGAACTTAATGGTCACTATGACTGCTCCAGCACTTTCCAGTTCAGTAGCTATAATCTCATGATCAAATACAAATATACTAAAATAAAACCTGAAATCAACTATTTAAAAAACCTGAAAAAATGAATAAAGACTTTATTAAGCATGCAAAGCAATATGCCAAGTGCAGGGGGGTGGGGATACAACTAGAAAAACAAGACAGTCTCTCCTCTCAAGATGCTCACATTCTAATGGGGGGAACAACACATATGAAAAGTTTCAGCTGCAAATCACATGGAAAAGTCCTGTGGACCTTGGGGTGTGGGGCAAAGCAGATGGTAATGTTTTCTGTTTCTTGCATCATCATAGTTCACCAAGGTATCCCCCTGCCCTACCCAGAAAGTCATCCCATATAATAAATGGTATTTTTTAGAGAAGAGAAAAAAATCAGGACAATTGATCAATATATTGAAAAAGTACAAAAATATGTTCAGTGTGTAACACCTGTGGACCTCTATGCATCTTTTTAAACATCATTTCTACCGATAAAATCATGTCCTATTCGGGTGTGAAGCCATTTGAAAGTAACAGTGACGGGTGACAAAATTTTCCTTTTTGGGTCTTCACTGGCTGTGGCTATATCTGTAGCACCTGCAGGAGGAATTGCCAGACTGCATCTCCACAGGGATTACTTCCCCGGACAATGGCTAAGGGCAGTGGCATCGAAGCAATGCTATTCCTAAGGCTTGGGTTCAGGGTCCTGGAGAATCTCTAGCAGAGTCTTAGAAGAGATGGTGGTCAATATAATGGTAGTGGTTTGACGTGGCTACCACAAACTGCCTTTTGTCTCTTTCTCAGGGTCCCTGGCTGCTTCAGCTAGGCTAATTTGTCTACCCTGTATATAGAGTTGGTTGGTAGTTGGTGGGGATGGTTGGCCCCTTTTCCATAGGAGTTGCTTTCCCATATGATGGCTGTGAGGCCTAGTCCTGAAGCAGGACTGATGACATGGAGGGGTGGGATAGAGAGGTTGCCACTTCCAGGGCTCCTCAGCCTATCTGCCTGAAGGTAGCAGTCAGTCAGTAATCATTGCTGGTGATGGTGCAGAAGGTGGTCTCCTCCACGGTGATTTCTCCTTTCAATGATGGCTCTGGGAGCTGGGCTGAAAGCAAATCTAGTAGTTTAGGGGGGCAATGCTCTTTCCAAAGTTCTTGGGCTCTAGGTCCTGACCCCATCAGTGTCTTAGTAAAGATAATAGTTGAGGTAATGGTGATGGTGGTTTGACTTGATGGTACATACTGCCTCATGTAATTCTCCTTATTGTTGTTGTTTTGTTTTTTGTTTTTGATTGGGCAGCGGGGTTAAGTGACTTGCCCAGGGTCACACAACTAGTAAGTGTTCTGTGTCTGAGGCCAGATTTGAACTCAGGTCCTCCTGAATCCAGGGCCGGTGCTCTATCCACTGCACCACCTAGCTGCCCCTCTCTTAGGGTGTCTTGCTGCTTCAGCCAGGTTGGATTTGGGACATTTGGCTAACAGTTGGTGGGAATAACCAAGAAGGACAAAAATAGTAATGAAATGCTCAAATGAAGCCAACATTCTTACAGAAAACAAGCTTATGACCTGCTGGGTCACCCTAGCAGGTCTAGATTACAAACTTTTTAAGGATAAAGATCATATTTTGTGCTAGGACAGATTCTTAGTTCTTCAGTTTGTCTGTCAATAAATAAGTATTGAATGCCCACGGTTACATAGTGTTGTAATAGGCACTATGGGTACATAATAAAGAATAAATACATGTTTGCCCTCAAGGGATTTATTTATAGTCTTTAAAATAGATGCAAACAAATGCATTTGAAATATAAAATTACAGTAAATACTAACTGGCATTGAAAGGAAGGGTTGGGTTGGAGAATGGCTAATACTCAGCAGGTGAAACTTCCTGAAGCAGTACCTCAAACTACAGTATAAATGATGAGGGAGGGGCCATATTTTGTCCTTGAGCAAGGATCCATTGTATTTACTTCCTGTAGAATGTCAGTTGAAAAGGGTCTTAAGGATAATCCAGACCAACCAGTTTAGTCTGCTTAATTTTCAGATCAAGATTACAAGGTAATGAACCCACTGGCTCATCAGATTTGCAGTTTAGATGCGTATTTTGGCATTCAAGGTGATGGCATTAGTAGCCTTATGGAGTCACAGGTGCTCTTGAACACCTGACTTCATGCTTAGAGTCAATGGTTGTTCACATATTCTATAGGCCAATAATAAAGAATGCTCACTTCCCTGACCTGCCATTTCTAGCTGTGGAAAAAAAATACGTACATACATATACATATACATATACATATACATATACATATACATATACATATACATATACATATACATATACATATACATATACATATACATATACATATACATATACATATACATATGCATATACATATACATATGCATACACATATATATACATATATGTATGTGTGTGTATGTATACACACACACACACACACACACACACACACACACACACACATATATATTTCCCCTTTTATGGCTACCTTTCTGGAAAACCAGCAGACAGAATAGCATTTGACATAACAAATACTTCCTTAGGAGAAGAAATAAAGATAACAGAAATAATATGTGTAAAAATGCTGAAATAATTTTGTATGGCCTTGGAGTTTTTGTCTAATACAAGACTGAAGGTAATATACCTAATAAACCTGGCAATTCCTAACCCAACTAGAGAATACCATGCAGAGACCAAACTGCTTCCTAAATAACTTTCTGCTTTCTTCTACCTTCTTTATGCCATGGGGTATCATGTATGGGAAATAGGAAAAAAGCCAGTATGGCTGGATCACAGATTGCACAGAGGAATGCAATGTGTGAGGAAACTAGAAAGGCAGAAAGAGACCAAGTTGTGAAGAGTTTTAAATGCTGAGCAGGAGTTTATGCTTGATCCTTGAGGTTAGAGGAGCCACTCGACCTTGGTGAATAGGAGAATGATGTGGTCAAAACTGTGTAAGAAAATCATTTTAGCAGCTGAGTGGAGGATCAATTAAAATGGGAAGAGGCTTGACAAAGTAAAATCAATTAGAAGACTATTAAAATAAACTAAGCAAGAGGTGATAAGGAACTGAACTCAGATGATGGTGCTGTAAGGGGAGAGAAGGGACCAGATGCGAGAGATGTTGCATAGGTAGGAATGACATGTTTTGGCAAATGATTGGATACATGGGATGAGGAAGAGTCAGGAGTTGAAGATGATGTGCATGTTACAAATCTGGCTGACTTTAAGGCTTGTAATGCCCTCAACAGAAATAGGGGTGTTTAGAATGGGAGTGGGTTTGGGGTGGAGGAGGGGGAGATAATGATTTCTTTTTTCAGACATGCTGAGTTTCAGATAGCTGCAGACATGTAGTTTGAAATGTATAATAGACAGCTGGTAATATAGTGCTGGATTTCAGGAGATAAAGAAGGGTTGGAAATATAGATCTAGGAGTCATCTGCATAGAAATGATAATTGAACCTATGGGAGCTAATGAGATTTCTGAGAGATAGTAATTAGGAGAGGAGGGGAAGGGGAGGAAAGGAGAGAAGAGAGGATAGCTGCGAAACAGAAGAAGAGGAGAACAGGGGAAGAGAAGGGAGGAATGGGAAAGAGAGGAGAGGAAAAGAGAAGAGATGAGAAAACCTTAGAGTACAGCCACAGTTAGGGAATGTGACATGGATGATGAATGAAAATGTGTAGGGTCCAGGGACCCCAGAAACGTCAGATGGATCTGCTTGAGAATGGACAGCAACTTTTCTCAGCATAACTGCAATGGACTGTCCTTTGTTTCCGACCTTCTCCCCTCCTTCTACCTACTTCCCACTAAATTGAAGTTGCCAGCAAATCAGAATTCTTGGTCACATCTCTGCTAGTGGCAATACACATTGCCCTCAATAGTTGAATAACAATAGGATGTGGTAGATCAAATCATCTCATTAAAGCATTACTTCAAACTTCCAGAAG